TACAGAATCACAATCTATTGCATTGTATGATTATTGAAAAAACATGCCATAAATAGTTTGTGCGTTGTTTGTCTCTTTAAAAATAGCTGAATGAAACATAATGGTAAACAATAAGAAGATTGGAAAAAGAATGCAGGAAGTCTCCATGTAAGACAGGTGTCGGTCAAGGAAGCACGCGCACATAAAATATAAAAGTCGTAGAAAGGGAAGTTTAGGCAAACGAGTTCCGTGTTCGTTCTTTTCTGTCATTTGCCTACCAATTAAATTAAGACAGTATGCAACCTGCACCGAATTCAAAACATGAAATTCAAGAGTTTATTTTTGACTCCATATTTCCCCGGATTTTGTTACTTTGAATATTTTAGATTCTTTCCTTAAACGTTAGAAATTTTAATTGAATAATTATTTCATGTAGATACACATACAGGATAAGCAAAGCTTAAGAAATCGTAAAAAAAGCCAAATTTTATTTTGATATTATCAAACAAAAACACAATTGATAGGCATAAAATGCCTAAAAATGAAACATATTTTATAACATATAGACTTGTTTGTACGAAACGCGTCATGTTAATTAATTGATTTTTAAAAGTTAAAAAATCAATAAATTAAAATCTATTTATTTACTGTCCACCGAATTCACAGGTGGAACATTCATTAGGAGGTCTTCATCATGTTTTTCAAAAGAACGCTATTAATTAACAGGTGATTTGTTTGTTATCATATAATTCACATTTTTAGCGTTGCAACTGCAATCCGTATATTGAGGTGATTTGCTTACTTCTTAAATGGACTACACGGAGTTTTTCTCTTTAACTTTACTGGCCAAAAGTATGTGTCATTTAGTGTGGGTTTTACAATATATTTAGTTCTGAAAATAGACTCGTTTTCTGAATAGAATGAATGTTTCATTAAATTTTCTTTTACACCATATGTTTATATTTTTCTAATAACCTGTTTCTCTTTTCTTGATTTACAATTTTGACATCCATTAAATATTCGATTTCAAAAATACATGTATTTACTAAAGATACTAAACATTGTTTAGTGTATTTTAAGGAATATTACATTTTAAATTACATAAATAGTAACAGTATGCTAAATTTCGCTTACAGGCACATTATGCCTCGAAATAAATATTTTGTTTTTACTTAAATGATTTTTAATGTTTTAATATCGTTAAAAGAATGTTAATGTTTTTTACCTGAATAAAGTAGCGATAGATGGTAAATATTTTTGCCATAAAAGTAGCAAAATGTAAACAAAGTAGCAGTTTGACTTCCATAGTAAATACCAACTCACTACAGCTCCACTTATTGCCAAAAAATAACAGATGAACAAGGTATGTCTGGTCATCGGCCAATGAGTAACTTTTTCGGTAGTTAAAAGTACACCGAAGTAAAAAAGTGTTTGAGAATTATAGAAATAAAACCATTGCTTTGGCATAATGGGCTATAAAATTAAATTTAAATCTAAGAATGCTCTATTTTAAACCAATTCTACAGTTATTCCTGTATTATTTTGAAAGCAATATTCAAAAGCGATGGAATCGGGAGGAGGATATAGTTTTGGCGTTGTCCGTCCGTCCGACCGTCCGTCCGTCCTTCCGTCCGTCTGTCCGTCCGTGCATCCGTCCGTCCTAATTTCGTTTCCGGAGTAGTTCTCTGCAACTACTGGCTAGAATTCAACGAAATTTATGGGAATCATCAATATCAAGAGGAGATGCGCATATCGTCGGCTTGTTCCGGTCCGACCCTTTAACTCTGAGTTATGGCCTTTGATTAGTTACGTAGTATGCATATAGAGTAAAAATCGTTTCCGGAGTAGTTCTCTGCAACTACTGGCTGGAATTCAACGAAACTTTATGGGAATCATCAATATCAAGAGGAGATGCGCATATCGTCGGCTTGTTCCGGTCAGACCCTTTAACTCAGAGTTATGGCCCTTGATGAGTTATGCAGTATGCATATAGAGTAAAAATCATTTCCGCACTACTTTTCTGCAACTACTCGCTGGAATTCAACGAAACTTTATGGGAACCTTCAATACCAAAATGAGATGCGCATATCGTCGGCTTGTTCCGGTCAGACACTTTAACTCAGAGATATGGCCCTTGATTAGTTATGCAGTATGCATATGGAATAAAAATCGTTTCCGCGCTACTATCTGCAACTACTTTGGCTGGAATTCAACGAAACTTTATGGGAACCTTCAATACCAGAAGGAGATGTGCATATCGTCGGCTTGTTCCGGTCAGACACTTTAACTCAGAGTTATGGCCCTTGTTTAGTTATGCAGTATCCATATAGAAAAATATTTGTTTCCTCGCTACTTCTCTGCTACTACTGGCTGGAATGCAATGAAACTTTTTGGGATACTAAGATGAGATGTGCATATAGTCGCCTTGTTCCAGTCAGATACTTATAACTCAGATTTATGGCCCTTGATTAGTTATGTAGTATGCATACATCTCATTGGCATTTCCAGATTTTACTATTTAACACAAAGTTATGGCTCTGTTATTGCCCTGAATATTTATCAAGTTCAAAGAATATTACTGTTTATGCCATGATTAATATATAAATAAAGCCTTATGTATTCAGTTATTGTGTTAATAATTACCAGTACTCGGCGGGGGATATAAATTCAACGAATTTGCTTGTTATTTGTTGAACAATATTGGTTATAATTGGGCAAGTCTTGAGCATTTCTTTATTCGATTCGTTAGTTAGTTTTACTGAACGCGTTTATGTGTTGGTTGTGTTACAAACTGCGAATACCTAGAAAATATCAGACAGCGATTTTACCTGGATTGTAAATGGATTATTGGCGTCCGCGCCGAAGCGCGGCGCCTTTTATGGAATGAAATCAGATTTTGTGAAAGGGCGACAGCAACTTCTCGAGCCTTTTAGTCGGTCATAATAACATTCGGAACTGCCTCGGCTATTATCTGTAATATTAACCTCGGAAACAATACGGATTGAAAATAGTTCTACCACGTGGTTTACAAATGTAAACAGAAACAGAGATAATGTAAAATGAATGTAAAATTTGACATCTAATGTCTGTTCCGATACTCTTATGCTTGAAAATATGTCTGACAACAATTTGTAATTTAAATATGCCCACTGATGTTCAATTTTGAACAAATCCGACTAAATGTCAAAAGGTTGGTTTTTTGTACTTTCGGTTTCTACAGCCATACTAGTAAATATAGAAATAATGTTTTGTTTGCTTTTGTACCTATGAATTCACTTATTTTTGGTGGATTTTAACTACATTTATTGGAAATAAACTTGTCAACAACTCCCAGCATTAAATTACTATTTGTTTACATGTTTAGTTTCTTAGCGTAGGTTAGACCAGAATACCGCATCCGTTCTGTGTATTCATACTATTGTGTTCGAGGTCCTTATCCGAAGACTGACGGAAAGGGCCGAGTAGTTGCGATTGTCATAATAAAAGCCGATCATTCCGATCGGTATAAGGGTGCTTGATTATTAATTAATAATGAAATGCGCGATATGTGACAATGAACTGCGAACTGGAGAATTTCGCAATGCAAAGTTTTCTTTAAACATTTTCAAATGAAATAACCTTTTCCGTCAATAAATCGCGCTCTTTGGGTTTTTTTATTTATCATTTTGTAGTACACATTGGGTTATCATGGTATGTTTATATTGTTGTAAATGTATCGTAGAATGATCAGTTGATGACCTAAATATTCCGAAAATCTATGTATAGATATATCTATTTATCACTCCTATCGGTAATTCCCGGTCTCTCCCGGTCTATTTTGACCGGGATTTACTAGTGACCGGCGAATAGTACCACACGTTTATTGTCCGGTCTCTCCCGGTTTTGGAGTAGATGTTTGATATCGTTACAATTCGAAAAAAAAAAACAACAATAACAATAGCATGTTTCATTTTATTTATATGAGATAAAAACAATAAATATGTACAATAATAGAGAAAAGGGTACATTTTTATGGTATTAATATGACACTATCAACTTTGAAACATTTTATTTAATTTGTTATTCTTGTTTAGTAAAGATGCCGAGGAATTATTCAAAGTTACAAATTAGATTTTATGAATAATTCAATTGATTGATAATTTAAAAAATGATAAAAAAATACAAATGTACAAATACATGGTTTAAGAATAAACAATATTATATATTGAAAGATAAACCATAATTTACTGACTTTTTCCAGTCAAGTTTTGACTTATAATCGTCGGTCAATATGACAATTGAATTCTTAAAATTTATTTTACATTTTTAATAAAAAAAGAGTAGTAAACATAAAAGCACAGTATTAAAATAGCACATAAAACACACACAAAAAAAAACAAACAAAAAAAAACAAAACAATATTCATAAAATCAGTATTTTTGTAATTAAAATTAATAGATATTACAATTATTGTATAATAAACAATTATGCTCAACATAATCAACCTGGTTATATAACCAGTGTCATATTTTTAGTAAGTGTGAACAGATACCTTAAGAGGGGGTCTTCGCTAACAGCGATAACATAATATGGGACAATTACACAAGTGTGGTACGTGTTGATCATGCGTTACACATATGGATTATAAATGATTGTATACATGTATATCCGTTGGTATTAATAACCACGATCATAAAGAAATAACAAGTAATATTTTGATCTCTAGCATGCCAATCAAAGTTCATAATGAACAATGTCTTTCGTCCGCTCATTCATAAGTAATAAACAATTCTGGTAGTTTATAAGAATATCTTGTCATCATATGTCTACTAGTTCATCTTCACTTGCTGCATTTCTTGCTTGGACGCCCTTTAATGCTTTGCATCAATGCTTTTCTTGTAACATCATTGGATACGAAAATCATTGTGATATTTAGGGTATGAATTATATTAAATATTTGGCTAAAATGTTTCAAATAAATCTAGTTTTTAAACCTGTGTCACTGTGCATTTTGGTACTGTTTTTTGATAATGCGATTTCAGATATCGATTATTCGGATGAAACCTATTTGGATGGATTTACGTCGAAATGTACTCCATTAGAAAGAAGGGACGGTGTGTGTGAGGTTATTCTGTCGTTTTATAATATTTCAACATTCCCAAATATGCTCGGGCATCAAAGTATTGAAGAGGCAAAGGCTGAGTTTTTAGACTTTCAACCGTTAATTGACGCTAAATGCTCCAAAAGCCTAGAAAAATTACTGTGTTTTATTTATTTTCCTCCTTGTACTACATATAACAGTTTACTTAAAGTATGCCAATCATATTGTGAAGAGGCCGTTACTAAAAAATGTCGGGAAATTTTAAAAAGCGTTAAAAAGCGTCCTCCTGTACTAGAATGCGGACAGTACCCCCGTTCGGATAGCAAGGATAATATTATTTGTATTACACCCAATGATACGCTTTCAAAAAGTGGCGGGACTGTCTACACAACAACCATAATCTACCCAAATTATATTGACGAAACTTCCGAAGAATCTAAAGAAGGTAAGAAACAGAAGTTTGCACAATACCCAAACTAGTTTTCTCAAATAAAGTAAGATAGAATAAAAGTTTGTAAAGTAGTTTACATACAAAGTCATATTTTCCATCGTTTCGAGGGTTTTGGAGGAGCAAAATGTTAGTGAACGGGTTTTTAATGTTTGTTTAACGTTATGGTTTAATTGAAATATATATAATAGCATGTGTCCTGTTAAAATTGACTACAACCAATAAGACTGCATATATTTTATACTTTAATTCGCCCGCACTTCTAATATTTTTCCAAAAAATTACAACAAAGACATGTTCGGAAATGTATTTCGTTTTAAAGGGACTCCACTGAGGTTTTTTGACACGATGGGACTGAAAATATTTTTTCAAGATAAATGTACCATTTGATGTAGGCTTAGACCACTAATCTTTGTGCAAAATTTCAGATCATTCGCGCACTTTGTTTTACCCTACATTTCCCTACAGAACACACCAATAACGGCGACAAGTAATAGTTTTGCAGGCTCTGTTAGATTGTGCCTGTTAATAATAATAATAAAAGTAATAATAATATCTTTACTTAATGAAGTTTACACATTAAGAACATACAATAACAATCATATATATCTTATTTCCAATGTGGCCTTCTGAAATAGAAAACAACAACAACAACAACAACAGGACATGCATAGGTATAAAAATGAATGTATAATATGTAATTTTTAGAATAATACAAGTCATATACTTTCGACAGAAACTCTACAATTTGTTTAAACATATACGTATATCGCATCATTCGTTCGTTCGTTCATTCCTTCGTTCATTTATTAATTAATTAATTCATTCATTCATTCATTCATTCATTCACTCACTCACTCACTCACTCACCCACTCACTCACTCATTCATTAATATGAACATCAAGATATGCTTTGTATTTTTCTTTAAAACATTTAAGGTTATTAACATTACGAATATTTAAAGGTATATTGTTCCAAATGTTCATGCCATAATAAGAAAATGTGTCTTTAATATAATTTGTTTTAGGTCTTGTCCATAATACAATATCTTTTCGTGACCTAGATCTTAAGTTATATATTTTGTTGTCGTATAAAGTCATCACTTCTGTCATATAAGTCGGTGCCATGTTATTTAAAGTTTTAAAAACAAGCACCGCCGTGTGGTATTTACATCTGTCAAG